GTCGTTTGCTTCGAAACCTTGTTTCAGGATCAACATCTATTTGATTACCGGTTGCTGTTTGGTCGGAAAGTAAATGTTCTTGTTTTAGATGGCATTAAATATAAAAATATACTTGCGGCAGTAGAGATTACGCAACAGTACGTCTGCAATTCAGAAAGCGTTCTACGTTCTTAATAGCTGGCAGTAAGGTGCTCTCTTAAAAAGACAAGTTATAGCTGTTGAAAAAAAGTTGTCATAGAATCAATATTTTTTTATGAATTTAGGAATTTCTGAAAAATATACAGCAATCTAGAAAACCGCAACAGAAAAAGGTGGATGGCTTCTATAAATTTTTTTGTAACAATGATGAGCAAGAAAGCCATTAACTAATTTGAATATAAAACAGAATTATCGAGTGAATATTAAAGGTGTACAGTATCTAAGATGTTATGCGTCACGGATGTTGCATATAAAACCACAAGAATTATTTGCTAATATGATCTTTTTCCAAACTAAATGATTGCTATGACAGATCAAGCAGTACCTCAACAACACGAAAGTCAGGAATGATATGCTATCTTTCAAAGCATTATATTGTAAAGTTAACTACAATGATAACAATGCTTTCCAAAATGTAAATAAATAAGACAGCATCGCCTCATTACTTCTATGTTGTCGTGACCTTACCACCACAGCTGCTTTCAAAAAGCCATTTAAAGTGTTTGACTTTTCTAAAATTTTCGTCATTGCATCATCTTTTGTGCGGCGATACTTGTAAAGTTGACCATTTTTGAAATCAAGTTGTTTCTAATCCCTTAAATTCTTCTCACCATTGACAAATGGTGCTCTTCAAATGCGCTGTTTCCTTGCGGTACTGAAGAGAGAAGAACGGAAGCCGGCAGAATACTTCCCACAGAATACTCCCCACAGTTCAGGAACTGCAGCTGGCCTTAAGAGCAATACCTCAGGATTCGTGGAAACTACCAAAATATGACTGTATAGAAACTTCCGCTTCTGATTACTTGACAATAAGATTATATTCTTAACCAGTAGAAAGAAATACTTTACAGTGATTTGAGTATGAACTGCTGTATATAGAAGAAAAACTAAGAATAATCTTTATAGTTTTTAGAGGCGTTTTTTTAATGAATGCTGAGAAGTCCGCGTATCAAATTCTATCATTTCTCATCACCACTATGTTATTTACATCTTAAAAGTGCAGTTGCTATTAAAAAACCGATTTTAATCAGCAGACCGTTTTAGAATTTTTATGATTGCATTACTTTCTCTTAAGAACCATCCAGCAACTACTAAATCCAGTCAAGTTCCACAGTTAAGAGCAGGCTTATATTGCATCTATCAACGTTACAATATAAGTTTGAAAGAACTTTGACTACAACGTTTTCCAAAATGTATGTGGTTAACACTGCATTGCCTCATTACATCTATTTTTAGTCATTTCTAGCAGGCGACAACTGACTGAATGTTGATTTTGGAACAACGTTTCAAAGCAGACAATGAATGTCTCCTTTAATTATTGTTATTTATTTTCCAGCAGTACACATCACCGAGACGTCATTCGGCAACTGGCTTCAACAGTGATCGACTGGTGGTGCTCTAGTATTAGCTAACGAGCAACGATTACATGATCTTAGACACTGATAGCTGATATAGTGGTAATAGATTTTGTCATTGCAAAATGACCTTCTTTCTGAACAATCTTTGCGTCCGTTTAGTTCAACTCTATCCTGACACGTTGAAGGCGTTGCTAGAAATAATCGTAACGGCTTAAAAAGAAAAAGTGATTACACTTCTTTTTTTTTTT